AGACAGAGAAAGAAAAATAATCTGACCAGATGAGCATACGGTAACGGTAAAAGAGACCTCTTTTATGCCCGTAGTTTTCGTTTGCAGGTTTGCAGTCATCGTAAAATGAGCTGCTAGCGAAGGCATGTTTACACAAAAGCATAACAATTTAGCCTACTGTGCTCAGTTCCCTAAAGAGTGTATAAACAGTGCTAATATTCTCTCAGCACACCTCAATCCCTTTGCGCGGAGTGGTTTTTATTCAAATGGCTACCTGGCGATATAACGATTTCCAAGAAGTGAACGAAATGAAAGGTAAAGGGTCATCATTCAAAAATGATTGTTCTGTGTGCCGTAAATAATTCGTTTCCAACCAACATCTAAAAAATATTACTCAGTCTCAGGTGTTTGATTAAACCGCGCCTCCGATTACTTCTGTTGAGTACACTACACATACTTCCAGTCGGTAATGATCGAGTGAAAAATTTTTTAAAAGATTCTGCAGGTCCGCACCAGCGTACACAGACTTATGATTTATAATCGCGCGCGTTATGGCCAATGTAAACCTGTCAAGTAATACACAGCAACACAAAATTCAGTCGCACGTGCACATACAAATACTCATTACTTTTATGAGTAACAATTAAATAATCATATCACTGAATTTATTATCTATCGCCAGAAGTCTGTTATCAATAACTACTGTACTTTGAATACTACATAATTAAAGGTCTTTAACATCTACTTCATATTACTACTAGTTTAGTTCAAATTTACTATGATTATCAACATGTGCAGCTCAACCTTTGGGATCAGAATCAATTGAGTGCCATTAAACCGATATTTTGCGAAAAAAAGGGACAGAAATTGGCAGATTAACCCTTGATTGACAAGGCACAGAGCTACAGTAACAACTTTAGAAAAAACATGTCGAAACAAAGGCAGGCTTTGTAACAATTATTTCATTGAGATCTAGAGAAGTCATGAAGAAGAACCAAAATATTATGGGGAATTTCTCTTAAAAAAAAAAAAAAAAAGTTTTGTTCTGGGATGAAAGTTAATTTTAACCCCCATATGATTATGATTTCTGGTACATGTACATAAGGTTTTTAGAGATTCAATCTTTAGTTGCTGTCCGCAACATGAACCAGAAAGGTACAATATGGAAAAAGGGCAACAACACAAACAAAATGAGATTATTACACTTTAAATAATATTGCAAGTCAGTCATCTAAAAAATTCAACATAACCAATAAGGACAAAAAAGTTCCCCTAAAATGATAATTTTAATGCAATTGGTGTTTAGTGTCTGTCGCTTTCCTGGTTCTCATTACCAATACACTTTAGTCTGAATTAACCTTTAGATAGTACACTGAATGCAAACAATTCAGACACAAATCAGATGAACAGTGTTGATTAAATTGAGACGTTTATATTGTACCCACAACGAAAAGGTAATAAAGCTCATAAATACCACAACAATTTAAGCATAGACTGGACAGTACATAAACAAAGGTGGGTTTGTTTTCATTCACTCCCGAAAAAACCCTAAGTTGTTTCCCTCTCTCAAGTTTCTCAAGGGCCACCAAACAAGGATTGAATGAAACTAAGGAACCCATCTTGCAAGCCATGCTAGAGCAAAAGGAAGGCAATAATCATCTTTACATGATACTACAAAATTAGGCAAAAAAAATCACTGTTAATATATTACAGAGATATGAATGCAAAGTTTCTGACAAAGGAGTGATTGTGAACATACTCCATGTCACACACCTTCTAATCTTCATGAAAAACTACATGTATAAATTTTACAATAAAATTTCACAGTTTTCACTTCTTAGGTTGTTGTACAGGTTGATTTATAGAAGTCTTCCTAAAAACAAGAAAAAAAAAAGGAATGTTTGAACTCAAAGTTAATTTGACACCTGGCATGACCATAAACTATGCATTACAAGTAAATACTAATTTTTAATTTCATTTACAAGTAAACATGGACTTAAAGGAAATCAGTTGAATAAGAACATGTGAAGCACTGACCCTGGTTGGATGCCAATAGGGACAGTTAGAAAAATATCATACTGCAGCATACAGTATCTCAGAAATACCAATAAACGATGTATTGGCAAGTTGAAGCCACAGACTGCACATTCAAGCAACAGTGGCAGTTACACTAGACAGTACATGTCTTCAGTGTGTTGTTGATTCAACCAGCCCAAGTGTGTTAAACAAAGTTTTTTGCCATTGCCAATAATTTACAACGAGTCAATTTTTTTTTAATTGAAAATAAAAACGTACATGGGGAGGGTGTTAATGATAGACAGGTCTCTACAACAAATACAAGTTAACCCTTTTTTACTCTTAAGATCTGATTGGTAATTCTCCCCTCTAGCTGCTACACATATCCTTGTAAATTAGTTATGAGAAGTTGTCGTTAGATCAAGACAACAACTTCTCCCCGATAAGTTTGAATATTCTCATTAGCCGTTTGCTGGATAGTGTTAGGACATCACTAGGAGAAGTTTCATATTGATCACTTCTGGGAGTTAAAAGGTTAACTGACTCAGGTTGAGGTTTAGATGACCTATACTGTTGTTGTTGTTGTTGTTGTTTTTCTTGCATTTGCTGTGGTCGAATATAAAGTGAGGGGCCTACATATACTTCAAATTTACTGTTGCCAAAAAAGTGAGCTAAGAAAAGTGGAACACAGGAATTGTTGATATTGCTTGTGCAAGGAGCTAGCTATACATTAAATTTAATCAAAAGGAAAAGTGCCACTACAGTAGCAGTAGACATCCAGTTCAATAGACATGTCATATATACATGTCATACATACTGACAAACAAAACCAACACAAATTAAAGGCTGTATAATGCAAAGAGGTCTGAAGGAACAGACACACAGACAAGACCTACCATTTAGAAAAAAACATACCTCTTCAAATATCACATTCTATGCCTCACTGTTGGCCATGGTGAAAGTCACCAAGGTAGGGTGACCCAGGATAGCTAGCAGTCTCAATAAAAATAAGTTCTACACAGAATAACAGGAAAAACAGGAAAAAATGTTATTGTGTAACCAACATATATGTATTTTTTCACATACATAGGGGAGTATAATCAAAACCTAAAGTGATCAGTCTTATGGAAGAGTGATGGTCTCAGTGATGGTAGAGCAGTCATGAAAAAGATTGTTGAAAGAGATAGTAAGTGGTTGAATGGGAAATGAAAAATAACAGGGGGGGTTGGGGGCAGGTAATTGCAAGTGTCATGTTGTATTGTTAAAATGAAGATTACACTCCAGACTGGGAACTAATCTGGACAAAGGATCTAAGATAAACTATGCACGTTGCATAACACCTGACCTACTTTTATTACCTTTAAGTTTTTCTTTGGGAAGATCATCCAGCTCAGTTTCAAATCTAAATGGCTCCTCGGCCACAGGCTGTGAAAGTAAAAATTACTTATTACTGGTACTATATGGTTTAACAACACGACAATCAAATTTATTATTTAAACTAGTAATAATCAAAAATTAGTAAAGTGCATTTGATCTCTAGTAAAACTCTTTTATTGTACTGATTGCACAGGAAAAAAAAACTGTGTCTTCAGCTCTAGGCAGCCAAAAAAAAATTTGCACATGAGACCAAGGCTATTTGTGCCACATAGCCAGCCAGCCAGCCAGTCCAAAATGGCACCCAATACCTGAAATCACATGGCATCACATTCAATCCCCTTAGGACTGGTCTATAAAACCCTCGAGAGTGATTTCCATAAAAACATCACAATTAGTATGTCTCCTCCTTTGTCGAATACAAATATCATATCATGTATTCTGATTGTCAGGGTGAGGGCTATCTTGGAAAGCACTGTTGTGAGTGGTGGCGATTAACATCTTGACAGCCTTAGTGGAAGTCATCATCAAAGTCAACTCTGATGATGACTTCTGCTAAGATCTCAAATGACATTGATTTATGATTGTTTTGAGAGATTCATTTTCCAAAACAAATGGAGTGCTCTATGTGCAGGAATTATATTTTTTTAAAATAAAAAACCTCTGTTCACTTTTACATTTACAGTACATGTAAGTTTCATAGTCAAGCAAGGAAGTGATAACTTGATGTTTTTTGCATACAGAGCAATAAGCTATCAAATCCTTCCTTACCTCATCTTGTGGGTCATAGTACTGCTCAAGGTAAGGATGAGCCAGAGCTTCCTCTATTGTGATCCGTTTGTCGGGATTGAAAGTTAACATCTTATCTAACAGTTCTATAGCTGTAAACAAGGACAGATAGACAGTTAATGAATAGCCTAAAACAACTGCAGTCAGGTACAATATTTAACCCTATCACTCCTTAGATCTCATTAGTTTTTCTCCTTACAGCAACACTCTTCTCAAAATGTTAGTTTGGAGAATTCGATATCCACTTATACTTCCCCAATTAAAAATTTCCCTTGTTCTCATTACTTGTCTACTTGGCCTTGTATCGATATTATATGAAGAAATTATGAGTTATTGTCAAAATATAAATATCCAAAGTGAAAATTTTCACACCAATTGAACAAAATTTCCTTTTTTTCCAAAAGCAAATGTAAATTTTTTAAAAAAAATTTTTCCCCTATATATTATACTTACATATGTACATACACTATACTTACTTCTTACACAATGCTTACACTACATTAACTTGCACTACTTATAATACATATATTACAATATAATTACACTAATCAAATTGAATTACAGTTGATCTATTTCTGTTATTGTTTGCATGTTAATTGTTCAAGTCACAAAGAAGAATTTTGTTTGTTAATTACACTACGTAGCAAAAGTAAAATTGGACATTGCATTTATGAGGTACTTGTGAACTCGACTCGTTGAATATTTAACTTGAAACATACAAACATCTAGTTGCCAATGTGGTGACTAGACCACAACTTTCAGCTTTCAGAGAGAAAATATTACATGTAGTTGCATTGGTGCACGTATCAGTTGCACTCTCAAGTCCTGTTCAGTGTAAGAGTTGCAAATCAAAGGCTGCATCAGACAACATATTACTGATGTGATGTCGATAGTTATTAAGAGCACAGTGAAGCCATATACATCTAGTTGGTACCTTTGTTATCAGCAACAGGGAAATATCTTTGCCATGGAACTCTTGGTTTAAAGGCTAATGACTGGATGTAACTACGTGCCTGGGAAAATGAAAGAATTAAAAAAAAACACTATTAAAAGGGTACTGTTGTTAAGTATGGGTTGTTCTGGGACATAAGAGGCCAATTGCACACCAGATATCAATTGCACAACATCAGAAGGCAAGGCTACATGCAGATTGCTTTATATGCCCAAAGATACACTGTAGATAACTATACAACTAACCACATGTAACAGGTACAGATGCACATGCTCAAATAACAAAACAATAAAACAAAAGCAACAACAAAAACTACAAAAACAAAGGAAACCCTCCAATATGCATGTACAAGTTCAGCAAATCAGTTGACAAACATGTATGCATTTTTCCAGGCAAGTGATTGAATTTTATCAGTTTTAATGTGTTCCATTCAACACCTGCTATCTGATAAACTCTATCGCTTGCTTCTGAGCAATTGCTAGCTGTACTTAAATAAACACTGTAAAACTGTCACAAATATAAAATCATACCTAAGAAAACACATGCAGACTAGTGTGTAATACTGTACCTTTTCATTCATAATACACTGCAAATCTTCCTGTGATGGGGACCCCAAAACTTCAAGAATGCGGTTCAACTGATCTAAGTCTGTACACAACTTTTGTAAAGAAAACAATAACTGTACGGTTCTTATAATATACATTTTGTAACAAGTAAGATAAAGAAACATACTAAAATAAGCATACTGAGGCATACAGGCAGGCAACTTCCCTAAAAAAAAAGAGAGATAGAGAGAGATTTTATTATCAACCCTTTAACACCCAGAAGTGATTTACTTGTAACTTTTCCCTATCATATCCATACATTATCCAGCCAACAGGTAATGAAAATACTCAGACTTATCAGAAAGAAGTTATCTTGATCTAACACCAAACTCTCAGAACTTATATACATGTACAGGGAAATATGTACCAGTTAGAGGGGAGAGTTAACAATCAGATCTTTTGGAGTTAAAGGGTTGAATACAACATGCAGTATTTGCATGCATGTCTGAGGACCCATTTTTTGACGAAATAGTCAATTGGCAACTGAAGTCCTTTGTGAAGTAAATGTGGATCTATAGATGCCTTCTGTGTGATCCCATCTTGAAGAAGCCCTACCATCCCAAGGGCCCACTGATAGGAAACCCTTGATCACTACTTGGAGGTGTATTGGGAATTTTAAACTATAACAGAGAAGGCTCTGTGCATGTTTTTTAAAGCACTCATTTTACTGAATCATCACTCCATAAACAAAAGAATTTGGAGTGTGTTTCTTCCAATATCCTTACAAAGATTTGCAAGTAGGGTGCAAATAGTATCTAACTTCAACAAAACATTTCAAGAAAATGTTTGATCTACATGTATTAAAAGCTTCTATGCATAAAATCTTTAGACTCTCAAGATCAAAAGCTCATTTCTCCAAATTAAATAGCATACCCAGTTAATGACATGAATTGAGATACCTACACAACTCTATTATCAAAATAGGGTCAGTGTTACATTATGAGTCAGCTCTCGTCTTCTGATCCGCTGATCACTTTTAACATTGTAAAAGTTTTTCAGTAAATTCAAGGATACAATGCTTTCCTGGAAACAGAGGGCGATTTGACAACATCTCTGCAAGAATGCAGCCCACAGACCAGATGTCAATAGCCTTGCTGTAACCTTTGGAGTTCAACATGATCTCAGGAGCTCTGTACCACCTTGTTGCAACATACTCAGTCAAAAATCCAGTGTGATCATGTTCAGGATCAGCTACACGGGCCAGGCCAAAGTCACAGATCTGAAAACAAACACAACAAAAACATGTAAATAGTTCAGCAGCAGTATTTACTTTATTGCCTGATTGTCTGGTTGCAAGTACATGTAGTTATGTACTGTCTGATCGACTGTTGTTCAGAGTTTTTTGTTGAAGCCACGGCACTATGATCTTTACTTTATTCAACTGTTTAATATCTGTCACAGCTATTTTATTCAGTGCTATAGCTAAAGTGCTTATGAGAAGAGGGTTTTTTTTACACAGTTTCGGCAATTTTACTCATAGTCCTAGTTTACAACATTTTTTTCAATGTGTTATAGACCAGCAGTTCACGATCAGTCATTGCAGCATTTACTTTCATTGTTGTTATGATGTGATTTTGGTTCTTCGTTTTTCACACCTTCTTCCAGCTATTCAAAAATTTTGGAAAAGACCCTGGTCAGTGACTGAAAGTCAGTGACAATTTGCTGACGTGTGGGGAAGTCATCATCAGAGTCAATAAAAAAACATTCTTGATCAATCCATGGTTACACATGATTACCCCTTAAACCTCTAGCTTCTAATTTCTCCTTTCAGTATCCCCTTTGTTAAAAAGTTAAGGTCACAAGAATATGTACAATTCCCAATTCAAAAGGTTTCTGATAAACAAATTCTCCTTTTAAGTATCACAGGAATTCAGGACAGTATGGAGAATATGTATGCACGTGTAAGGGTATTAACCCTTCAACTACCAAGATCTCATTGGTAATTCTCCTTACTGTCTGCTATACAGTTCTTGTGAAGTTAGCTTGGAGAATTTGAGATTAGATCAACTTATAATCCCCTAATTGATCTTTTTCTTTATTCTCATCACTTGTCTCCTTAATATTGTATTGATATTGTAAGGGGAAATTGTCTTGGTCGCTCGTGGGAGTTAAAGGGTTAAGAGTTCAAAGTATGGTTCATCAAAACTGACTTGTACTCAGGTTAAAAATGGTGGTTGCAGAGACTAACAACAGTCTTTCTTAGGACTGACCACAACCCAAACAAACAAAGAACATGATAAACTGTCACTAGTGCAATCAAAACCATTTACTCTGTTACAGCTGTTAGTTCTATCGGTAAAAGGCTTCTACCTCTTTTCTTTACCATAAATTTAAAGTTTAAAGAACATTTTCAACTATTCGACTGCAATATTTTTCAAGCAGACAAGGGATCTGTCAAACAAAAATCGATAAATTTGTATCTTACTGCAAAAGTACCTTGAGATCACATGTTGTGTTCAGCAAGAGATTACTTGGTTTCAAATCCCTGTGAAGCACATTGGCTGAGTGGATGTACTTTAGTCCACGCAAGATCTGGTATAGGAAGTAGCAAATGTGGTCATTGCTCAATTTCTGTGTCTTGAGTAACTTATACAGGTCTGTTTCCATCAGGCTCTGAACAATGTAGCTAGATGGAAAAATTCAGGTTAAGGAAAAGAACCTACAATGGTAGATTGGCACAAGTATAAGCCTCTTTGTAAATCTTCCTCCCAGATGTTTGCTTGTGAGGGAACATCTGTTTCACCAGAACAATTCTCCCATGTGATTGGTTAACAGAGAGTATTTTCTCTAAAGTGCAGATGTTACAAATGATTAAGACCACTCAGACATGTAGTTGTAACTTGGCCAATAAGTCATTTTTATTTCAAAATGTCCCCTGCATGAGAATTTTTGTATCAGTATATAATCAATCTGCAATGCTGCAATGTCTCAGTGGCACTTTGGAAAAGACACATAAGAACTCTCGTTATGATCAACAACAGCTTATTGAATCAAACAACTCTGAAATGTAGACATCACAAACATTTAGCAATAAACGACAACAGATGTAAAGACACAACAATATAATGTTTTGAAATAAGAGCAATGTAAACAGTTGACTACATTTGATGAGCTTTACCCTCAAAGGAGACAGTCACGGCACTATTTTAAAACTGAAACGGGAAAATAATTTGGTTGAGAAAGTGTTCGTGGCTCAAAACAAAGCTTGACGGTTGTAACTAACGCATTTTGAATGAAAAAATTCATTTTGGGTTTTAATTTGAAAATCATGACGCTTTAAGTGAAGTAGTATAGTTGTTAAAGGAAGGCACTCGGTACTGCGGTTAAAAATATGAATATAGCATGCTTACGAGGAGAAACAACAAAAAATAAGAAGGCTTTTGGAGAAAATCGCTGTTGCGGATCGCAAAATGTAGCAATATGTGATGTTTCGCTGCATTAAGTATTCTTGCACTCACGACATGTTAAGAAATGGAAGTAAACTTAAATTAAGCACATTTTTACAAATATTTCGTAAAATTAATACGCATAGGGTGACTCTTAGTTTACACTACGTCATTCTTTAAAACATTTTGATTTCCATGCTTTGAAAAGCTGCTTAAGATAAGCAAATTTATGGTGTAATTGTTCGGCTCGTGTTACTACCGAAATTAACCAACATTGAAAATTAGAAATTTCTAGAGAAATGGTCGTAATACTTAACGTAGTTCTCAAAGGATACACATCTTTCATGTCATCAATGTTTGGAGCGCGGATTATATCCATTATTCCGATGATCTGCACAGAAATGAAGGAAATTATCGACTACTGGGTCTAAGGTGCATAACACGTACGTGAAGAAGATGGTAAATGCTACAACGAGAGAAACACGACCCACGTAATAAAAATTCTAAAGCGCTGATGGAATGTTCCCATACGCGTCACGTTCCTCTCAAGAGTCCGTCTACAAGCCTCACTCGTGTTTTTTTACAGTACTTACATTCTCGTGTTTAAATCGACGTAATATCTTAATCTCTCGCAATGTCCGTTGACAGTACGTCTGATGCTCGAAAGGACTGATTTTCTTGATAGCCACTCTCTGTCCTGTGGCATTGTCCAGCGCTGAACTGTGTAAAAAAGAAAAAGAGCAAGAACATGAAACGTTATAATTTCACTCAAGTAAATGCAGAGCAAATCGAATACAGTTGCGAAGCTACACTCCGTTCGAATTGGCTGGGAGAACGAAACATTTGGTGTCAACAGCGGCCTCCTTACCAAACCATTCCATAAGCCCCTTCTCCTATGTAACTGAGATTCGTATAGCGAGGTCCTACATCGAATGCTTGGCCCCGAACGACTTCAGGCGGTAAAGGTGCCGCCATATTTGAGTCAGCTTCCGTTTCGTCTACAACGCGGCACCGAGGCTGACGCACCCTGCAGTAAAAGTCTAAAAATCCCTGTTCCCAGCATGCTGTCCGACATGCGCAAACTTAGGCACGTATAGAGTGCAAATTAGCCCTTTGCTCTAGAAACAATTGTAAATTTATCATAAAAACTTAGTTCGATCAATTCAAGGCAACTCTTTTTTATTCATATCTGTAATCATGAGGAAGGTTAATTTGCACCCGAAAACTGACACTTTTATCATGGATTTTCCCAACAGCTCATTCTTTTCCGTGGAGAAAATCAATGCTGGATATATTGTAAAGATGGGTGATTACGCATCCTGTATTGAAATTTTAATTCTTATTTTCAAAAGACCGTTAATGAAAAAAATCCCTTCTCTTGTCCTCTGGCGAATATCAACACAGGAGGGAAGTTGATTGGAACTTCCTTTCCTGGACTCACGCCCACTCACTCATCAAATCGGAACAAGAAAGAGAGCAACCCATAGCGTAAGGGGAAAAAATATAACAGGAACTTCATATTTGGATATTTTTTCTTAAATTTTTTTTTGAATTTTTTTTCTTAGCAGGAAGTTGGGGAGTAAGTAAATTATCCACTTTGTTAAAGAGAAACAAGTCAGTCTCTGTTTATACCGCTTTACCATGATTTGCTCATTTATACACGGATTAATGTACGCAGTTAAAATTTTTTTTCCCTTTTAACTAGCGTGTAATTTCTCCTTACAGTATTACCCCTGAATTACACATTAATGTCACGAGAATAAATGGAATGATTACCCACTAAAAAAAAGTCTTGATTGTGAAAAACAAAATTCTCCTTATCAGCTTAGGAAATGTGAGAGAACAGTCTGAAAAATGTGCATTCTGATGTTAGGGTGTGAAGGGTTAGGACACTGAGCTCATGATAAATTGTAGATTTGCCTCTGCAAAGGGAAGTTTTTGTTGAATTCCACTCGCGTTGACCGGGCAAATGTGAATATTGTTACTTTAAAAATTTTCATGCAGAGAAGTGCTCTTTTTTCCCTTCCCTTCGCCCACGCAACCAGTGTTAAAATACTGAAAACGAATATTTTTTTTTTTTTCAAACTGTAAAAACTTGAAATCCCTGAGAAAAATTAACTTAAATACTTGGTAAGTATGATCCCGTTGTGTTTTCTTGCAAAAAAAAAAATAACAACAACAAAAATGATAATTATGGGAACATTTTAGGTAACTAAAAATATAAAGGAACTGTCAGATGAGTTGGTACGCCCACAAGGAAACCGCCAGCTGAACGAGAAACGACACACCGGAGCATATTATAAATATAATTTTTTCTTAACAATGACGGGGTCCTATGCAAATTGACCAACTCTCCCTCCCCTCTCCTTTCCTTGCCAAGCCTTGAGTTTGAAAAACCTGGGGCCCAAGTAGGATTTAGAGAAGGGAGGTTCTAAGAAATGCCCCAAAGGGGATCGAAAGGGTTTTCAGTTTTTCAGCGTTTAAAGGGATGAAACAGTCTCTGTTTTGTGGTTTTTTCAAACATGTCTATTGAAGTTTTTCGTCAGAAATCGTACGTTTTTAGACGTGTCCCATTTCAGTCAAGGGGGTTAAACCAAACCACCCGAACCCTGCCTCCCCCCCTCAACTGGATCCGCCTCAGCTGACCAGAACTGATTTGGGTAAATGACTAACCATATTATACAAAAGTTTCTTTAAAAATTTCGAACCTATGGCCCGAAAACAACCACAACAACATCAACAGGTCTGAATGCTACCAGACGGACTGCAAATCGAGGTGTATCTGAAGATTGCCGAATTTCTAACCATCTTTTTATAGGCAGACCACATAATGCATTCGTGGTTAGTAATTGTCGACATGAGACGAACAAAATTCACGAGGGTTATGAGTAAAGCTCTGAAATTTGCATATCGAAATTAAATCTCGGTCTGAATAGCCCAAAAAAGTTAAATAAAATGTTAATCGACTCATTTGTGGTATTTTTTCTCCTTCATGGGCCGTTTGAAGCGTCTTTTTATGAAATTACCGTTTTGCCGGAGGACATTAAGAGAATGGAATGGAATGGAATGGTGTGGTCAGGTGGTCTAGCCTACCCGTGATCATTTATGCCTTCATTGCTAGAAAAACCGCTGAAACGATGTTCCAACATTATTTATCGCCTGGAGGAGTGAAGGATTTTTTTTCGGTTGGGGGGGGGGGGGAAAGGGGAAACACATGGTTTTCAGGGGGGGAACGGATTAAAACCGTTACTTAACCGAAGAATCAATACAAACCCCCATCGAGCTTTGAAGGAAAAAGTCATAGCTCAATAACGCACCTACCTAGATAAAATTTTATTAAAATTTCAATTAAGAAAAAAATACGACACCTTTCAACAAATTAAACAACTATTGACCGAAGTGGAGGTGGCTAACTCGGGTGAATATGTAAAGTGGCAAGGTAATTATCCCCCACAAGCCACCCACACTGAGGTGAATAGGCTTTAGTATATGTATATGAAAGCAGTGAGATTGTAGAGCACAACCAGACAATTTAAATCATTATTCTTGCAAAGATTACGATATATTTGGGCGCGAGTTACCCGGAGATGAATAGGTTTTCCAGGGAGTAGCCAATCAGAGGGCTCCTTCGACGCTATTCGATGTTTTAGCATATACTAATGCATGCAGACTACAGTTACTATATGTTTACCATTTTACGACTCATTTTACAGATCTAAGAGAGAGAGATATATATAACAAAAAGGATGGAAATAATATAATTGGGCAACTTTTTTTTCCCGCATGCGTTGGCAGACTATAAGAGAATGGTCTCGCTACGGCACTAAGAGCTCTATCCATTCGCATATGACGCAGCGATAAGATGGGTCGCGGCGACTTTTATCATAAGTTGGTGTGCGTTTCTCGCCGAAAGCTTTGTCAGTCTCTGATTCCGAAGAACTGCTTTTGGATTGGCCTTTCCACTATCAAGATCGAGAAGATAAAAATATTTCAATTCATACAGTGAGAATACCAGGAAACGAAAAAAAAATTACTGGATTTTGAACTAAGACGAGCATTGCTCCTCCCCTCAGTGGCTTCAGGGCTGTTAAGTTGCCAGGATTTTTGAGAAACGCGTCCAGTTACGCCTAAGGGATCTCGTTGTAGGAAACCTCACGCTGAAAGTGTCAGTCCGACCCTTGGAGCTTAGGGCCTGGGCACTAACCATCTATCAGATAAGGGCGCTGCGTTAAACGGCGTTGGGTTTTAGATCAGCATCGATAGACGTTTGTAAATCTTGAAGCTCGTTTTGTATTGTATATTGCTGGAGCATGGGTAGAAAAATGACAGCGTTACGGAAAAATCTTGCAAAAAGCTAGTTTACACACAATAACAGCATTCCCTTATTCCCCATGGCTTTGTCGTTGAGCGAGGAAAAAGCAGTAACTCTTACTCTAAGCAAACGCAGAAGCCAAGTAGTAGGCTCCTGGCAAACGTCCGTGTACGTAAACAAGAGTATCAGACAAACATTTCTTTGAAATAATAAAAAATAAATAAAAAAATAAAATAACAAAATAATAAATTTAAATTTCCAGCGCTTCCTACCTAAACCATATTTACTTCTAGCTTTGAAAATTTTTATCATTATGATAAATTTTGAACATCGAAAATTATTATTTTGGCAAAAGATAATTAGGTTTTACCAACTGAGTTGACAATAAAAATTTGTCACCGTATGCCATATGCAGCCTAGAATAATTAGGGAGACTAAAATGACTAGCGACTAGTTTGGATGCGTCCTAATCGTTCCTTTCTACGTCGCGAAGGTGTTCTCGGAATTGGTCACCTTATCGTCTTTCTGTTTTACCAATGTATAGCTTTTTGTATAAGTTATGCAACAGATGACATTGGCGGAGGTGTTCGTGAATTGATCACTCAGTCTTAATAGATCTCTTGGGTCCCAACATTTCCTTTACGTTATGAATGAAAGGATAAGGTTTGCATCGTGCGCGAGCGCATTTGAAACGGTTCCAGGTTGATCATTAGTTAATTTGTAATGAAGTTCTGACTAGTTTTGCCCATGAATTTGTCGCGTTTGAATGAAATTAGTGGAGGTTGCGAAAAGATAGAGTCAGTCTCTGAATCAATTTGAAGTAATTTAAAGTTTTTGAGAATGATAGATTTAAATGTGTGGTTATAGAGCGATTGATCATGAGTGTTGGCACTAATTCAGCTAGGCGGAGTAGTGGTAAGGTGTGTATTGAGACACATTCACGCGAACTGAGTGGATTTCATTGTTTATGACAAGGCCTGCATATGATGACTGGGTAAATGATCGTATTGATCATTGGACGGGCGTACACTCTGAGAAAAACAATCGACTGCAATAAACAGAATAAACGAAACACTTACCGTACACTTATCTAGGCTTTACCCTCAAGTAATCGCCTAAAATCAGAACGGAAACGAAGGGTTTTTTTTTTTGCTCAAACGGAGCCTTCTGATATACTGCTGAGCAGTTCAAAAAAGGAAGGAGAATAGCTTCATACGCTGGTTAAGTGAAACCAATCGCTCGAGGAGTCTGCTTTGACTATATATTTATTAGACAGGAATACACTATGTAACTAAATGTGATTAATGTGTTTTTACTTTATTCAGCTGTTGCAGTATTTTAATTTAAACACAGTTAACCTTCTCCGAAAGTGTCAGGATGTAACGATTAATAAATAATTTCGCACCTTAAGGCTCAAAACATCTTTTTGTTATTTAAATCTTCCTATTCACCTGCTCCACAGCTTTTGTAGATGCCAAAAAGGATAAGCTGTATTTTATTAATACAATAACATGCACTCGCTATCGAATGCAGGAGTAACAAAGAATTCTCTTCACAAAAAACCATTTCCCGGGTAATGAAATTACAAAATGAAGTCTGCAAAGAGTTGAGACTGATTAATTTTCACTGCTTACCAAAGACACTGCAATCATCCCTAATTAAAATGTTCCAAAGGTAAATGAATGATCTAACTAGTATGTCAAACTAAACAAACAATTTGTAAATTGGATTGACTTTGTGGGAGAGCGCATAAATTACGGAAAGTTTTCGGCTTGCCACAAATTCGCCGAGTAAAGCACAAATGCTTCAGTTTACGGTGATAGAGAGAAGGCCGTTTTGCCCAGAGGAAAAAATCCTGAACTGTTTAACTTTACAGTGACAATGTGCTTTCATTTCTAAAGTTTGACAGAAAATGTCTTCATCGTACACAGTATTTTTCGACGACTACTGGTTCAAAACAAGTCTTCCTAGTATAATCGTGTACGCCGTCGTTTCCGCGTTCACTATCTTTGCTAATCTGCTTCTTTGTGTGGCCTTCTGGAAAGATCCCTTCGGCGAATTGAGAACAGCTCAAAACTACTTTATTCTAAATATGGCTATCGCAGATCTTGTTATGGGCGTCATTTCAGAGCCATTGTTAGTGGTCACGTATTGGCATGATAACAACCTGATATACTTCATTCATTACCTGTTCGCCGTTCTTTCTGGGACTTGCTCTCTAATGAACATCACGGCGCTGTCTATAGTCCGTTACTATGCTGTAAAGCAGCCCTTTCAGACGCAAAGTATTGTTAGTGAGCGTAGCGTGATGATTGGAATCGGCTTTATGTGGGTAACAGCTTTTCATTATCCCATATTACTCTTGCTTGGATGGAGGAATGACATGTTTCAGCTTTATTTGTATGTTTTTGCTAGTATCATTCCCACTATAATTTTTACCGGGGCTTATTTTCTGGTATACAAGACACTGCGTCGTCACAGTATCTCGCTGAAGCAGCTCGGAGAGGGAAAAAGTTTGGCTCTTAGCAACGCTCTCCGTACCGAAAAAGCAGCAACGCGAACAGTTTTGATAGTTCTTGTGGCTTTTTTAAGCATGTGGATTCCTTTTTTGATCATAGACTTTATTATCGTTCATTGCATAACTTGCAGAGACGAACAGTTTCATCTTGCGAGAGATGTTACCCTCTCGCTGGTTTATTTCAGCAGTGGGATAAATCCCGTAATTTACGCGTGGCGGGTGAATACGTTCAGGAGAGCTTTTCTGCGTGTACTGGGCATAACGAAGCCATTTTCCTCGCCCGAGACGTTGTGGAATAGACTTCCCAACACCAATCGTAATTATCAGTCAACGACCGTTAGTTTCATCAGAATTAAGAGAGAAGGACGTTTGGAAATAAACAGTCCAAGTTTAAAGTTAGAAGATATAGACTCCATAAGTGGTCAAATAACTCAAGAAATAGACCCAAGCGAATAATACTTTTGAACATGTGGGCCCTTGCGAAATATATGTTTTTTGTTGAGCAGTCACTTCTTGGGTATCTCCAAAAATCATTATGTTTAGAGTTCAGAGTTCAGAGATGCTTTCTTTCTCTTCACAAACCAAAGCCATCTTGGGGAAATCCAGAGGAAAGAAGCTGTTTTGGAAAAGAGACCATCATGGACTAGTGTAATATGAGACCTTCAGTTGACTGCATTTCTTCAGAGGGAAAAACATCAGTTTCTAGCCATAGAAAATGAACAAAAATTGATCCATCAAGGAATATTGTAACCTCTGAATGTGTTATATAATAAAAGCGAAAAGCATACCTTTCATTTTTAGAGGAAAACGCGTATACAATTAAAACGAAACGAGTGAGGTGCACTCGTACATTAAGTCGATCAATTACTTTACATTAGCATTGCAGACATTACAGTTTATTATTTCCTGCCTTGAGACAGAAAGCTGTCAACGATTGTCTGCTCAAAAGAGTTGTCGCACTCTTCGTAACGTCTTTCTTCAGTCCATGATTTACTGGACCAGATGATTATTTTCTAAAGAAACCGTGTGATGCGTCGACTGGCATGAGAAATAATTGGTTGGCCAGATCAACCATAAATTAATAACGGTGATAAATTGCTATAAAGAATACGGAATTGTTCAGCCTATTCAACGAAGAAAAGCCTCGAGAAACCCGGCGCGTTACTGTGTTCTTTGGAGATTCTGCTTATTGGGTCTTTAGAGCGTTTATGCAAGAAGCTTTTCGGTAACACTCCGACACCTCAGACTGCTGCCAAGTTTGACAAAAGAAGTATCACTCCTAATAACCAAAATCTCAGCGCCACAAAACCAGCAATTCAGGCTTCTCTGTCGTTTCTATTTCTTGTTGCGCAACTGACCTTAGTTCGACCTATCATGACATCACCATGGTGCCAAGCATTAAGTCAAGCTATTAACTCCCTAACCCCCAAGAATGACTAGTATCTAATTTCTCCTTACAATTTTATCCCCGGAATCACACATTAAAGTCATGGGAATAAAGGAAATGACCACCAACTAAAGAAATTCTTAACTGTTGAAAAAATTTTCCTTTTCAGCACCCTGGGAAATTTATAGGGAACAGTAGGGAGAATTTGCTCATTGATGTTACAGAGGGAAAAGGTTTAAGGTCACAACCAAAGCTTAAATAGAACTTTTTTGAATTTCAATTTCGCCAACGAGTACAAACTTATTTTCACCGTGGATATCATACTTTTATAACTCTTATTTCAAACAACGAAGGGCATCAAGCCCGAAAAAAAACTCTTTTTAATCATCGACTGACCAACCATTCGACAAGTGAAACTATAAACGCCACAAAGATCTCGGGGAAATGGAACTCTGTTTACGTTACCTAACCAGCTTAAGAATCATGCCATAAATGACATAACCTGACATTTCTAACAGTTGCTCAAACTGCTGTAGAATGACCCAGAAACAGGCAGAATTTTTATTTTATCACCCCCTATCTCCTTAAACCCAGACAAGAATATTCATTTGGTAATTTGATGGTGAGAAACGAGGTTCTTCGGCTATAACTGACACGCAACCAGGTTCTCGGACAAGTTGTGATCAGTCATCCCTAGGCCCTCAGCGGACATTCAGCTCATTTACTACGCACCATTCATCATTTTCGTCAGAGGAGGAGAGGGTGGAGGATCTTAGGGGAGGGGGTTTACATGGATTTTCCGTAGACACGAAGGGGGGGGGTCTATCGTCGTCGAGAGAGTGTGAGGAGGGAACTGTAGAAAATTGAGTGCCAATTACTACCAATGACAGGGGGGGAGTCATATATATTGAACTTGGCAGAGCCACCTAGGGGGATCAGGTAGTAAAGTTTATCGTAACGCAACAAAATCCTCCATACACCTTCCCCTTCTCTCAGGCGATAAATAATTAACATTGAACACAAGCTGCCAAACAGCACGCTAACGTCGTGATTTGATGTTACAATTTCTGTTCATTTCAATCATTCATCAGCCAGCACAAATAATACTAATAATAATAATAATAGCAATGATAATAAAAAGCAACTGACTGGGCTTTGACCGAGGTAACGGAGACTCATGCTGCATATTGTTTATAAAGCCGTTTTAACTGATTGCGTGGCGAGTACAACAAAGAGGCCTGCTCAGCCAGTGGATGGCAGTCAGACTCTTAATGTTTTCTTTCTTAATGACACAGCAGCTGGTTAAAACACTAGCCTTTTTTACAAAAGGCGGTGATGACTTATGCATTAATCTAGAGTCGTATTTTGACCATTTATTGGCGATAATTTGAATATTTTGATTTACTAGAAGAAAACGACGCCTTCAAGTCTGGCGGTAGTCAAATTAGTTTAAAAATGCTGTGAGCATTTTCGCTGAGATTAAACCAACCTCACCACTGAAGAATGTTCATTTCGGTGACTGCACCAGTGAATCTCAAGTCTGAGTTGTGAACAATTCCCTGTCAACGGCATTTCAATAAGTTGGGACAATTACGAGAGTTACGAAAGAACATCATCGACTAAACTATCTTCTTTAAACAAATTTGTCTTGTTCTCATGCAAATTTACATCGAGGGGGTAAAGTCATCCGCCATATTTAGAAAACAAAACGTGATTCCATTTCAGCGAAACTTAATGTGTTGCCCCTTAAAAGCATTTTCTAATTTCCCATGGAAGACTCTCGAAAGACAATTAAAAATAGAGCAAATTGGTGTTTAATTCCTCCCAATTTTCTAAAGAATATGAGTAAAACCAACACCCCGCAAAATATCATTTTAACAAGCAATACGTGAGGTCGGTTCCAAAAAAACAATTGCAGTCCCCTCTTTTTTGAGAAAGTAACCCAGCAGGACGCATTTTTTTGAAACAAGTTTTTAGGTGGATAAATGCTGTGATAAGAGCGAATAGAAGAGCTTCAAAGATTTTATTGTGACTTGTGGGTTTCTGAGAATCTTTGCCGATAACTTCCTGGCGAGCAGAGCATAAAATATACCGGAAAAGGTGAAGCTGAATCACTGGAAAATAACTTTTGGATCGAAGCCGTCCTTTGATGTTTCTTTATTGAGTCAGAAAGCAAGGAAAGATTTTCCGAAGGGTAACAATTTTCTGTATTAACGAAATTGCGGCAAGATCGCAAGACATGTCTTCCTCATACACGGTCTTTTTTGACAAGTACTGGGTCAACACTAGTTTGACGGTGATGATAGTTTATGCCATCGTATCGTCGTTCACGGTCTTCGCGAATTTGCTTCTCTGTGTGGCATTTTATAAAGATCCCTTCGGTGAACTAAGGACTGTGCAGAATTACTATATTCTCAATTTGGGAATCGCTGATCTTATCATGGGCGTTATTTCAGAACCTCTGATGGTGGTAACTTACTGGAATAGTCACAGCCTTATATATTTCATTCATTATTTGTTCGCTATCATCTCCGCATCGTGTTCTTTACTGAACATCACAGCGCTCTCTATAATCCGCTATTTTGCCGTGAAGCAGCCCTTTCAAACGCAGAGCATCGTTAACAAACGGAACGTGTTGATAAGTATTGGTGTTATGTGGGTAACAGCCATTCACTATCCCATGCTTCTCGTTCTTGGATGGAGAGAAAAAGCATTTCAGCTGTATTTGTATGTTTGCGGTTGCATTATCCCTACTATAGTCTTTCTTGTGGCTTATTTTCTGGTATACCGCACGCTACATCGCCATACAATTTCGTTAAAGCATCTGGAACAGGGGAAAAGTCTGGCTCTCAGTAACGCTCTGCGTACAGAAAGAGCGGCGACACGAACAGTTTTGCTGGTCCTTGTCGTATTTCTGAGTCTATGGATTCCTTTTTTGATCATAGACTTCGCCGTTGTTCAATGTCCTAACTGCAGAACCGCTAAATTTCATCTTGCTCGGGATATTACTCTTTCGCTTGTTTACTTCAGTAGCGGGATAAATCCGCTAATATATGCCTGGCGGGTTAAGACGTTCCGAAGGGCGTTTATCCGTGTACTGGGTCTTCAAAAGCCTATAGAAAGGAGCGTTTGTTTTTGGAAGAGGATCTCCACATCTGAGGCTTCCCTACGTTTCCGTGTTGACAGCTCTGACAAAAAATCTAGGACAACGGATTTAGGCGTGAAATCAGAATCAGATGATGTCAGTGTAGGTCGCGTTAATGAAGCATTAGAGTTGAGTTAGACTTTTTTTTTTAAAACAAAACCCAAGATATCTTATGAACAGTCGATTAGAGAGTTTTTATGTCATTTCCTGGGAGGCTCCAGGCCTAAAGAAAAAAAAACATTCTACTCTTTTGTTTCGCATTGAGAATCACACGATAGAGACAGGTGCAATATTTTTTCCTTTTTTTAACGGTGTATTTAGCAAATCTCTGTGGGTTATGTAACAAACAGCAGAAATCTGATATCAACTTTCGACATAGTCGCGAAGCCCAATGTACATGGCAATTGAAAATAGTATGCTGTTGTTAAGCGCGCAGCCTCTGATGCTAGGAAAATTACGATAGTGTTGATGAAAGCTGTTATTAAATGCGTTGGTCAAGAGAAAAGCCGTTTGACTAGAAAACTAGTTAAACAAACGCAAATGATGAAAAGACAAAAAAGTGAAAGTTCCTTGTGTGATCGGTGCCGAAGATATTTCGTAATTCACCTAACATTTACCTTGCCATTTAAGATCATCATAAGGTATGAGATGTGATGAGTTAAGGCATCGAGTTTCCGGTGGCAACACAAAATAGTCTGTCGAAGTTAAGTACCAAATGAAAACTATTTAGATAAAGATAAAATTTGAGAAAAAGCAACGAGCCAGACGCCTTCCATCCTGTGCAAGTCTAAAAGGAAAATGAAGGGTAAAGAAGATTCTTAAGTTGTATTGATTGTATCATCTTGGTGGGTGCTCAGCTTTTTACAATGACAACCAACGTGCGAGGCCGAGCCGTACGCGTATCACATCATTCAACTTATCTGGCTAATGGCGCTGAAACAGATATTTACATAAACTAGAAGTTTCGAATACCTTTTTAAAGTTTTTTTTAGATTTAACGTCCTAATTGGTCGTGTGTTTATATCCAAACGAGAGGGATAATCATCAAGGATTTGAAGAGAGCTTCGCTAAAGTAGTGCCTATTGCGCATGCCTGTTAAGCATCTTACGCCCCTGATGTCAAGCATTCATGTCTTGTATCTGTAATTCGTACCGACTGGTAGAAATATTCATTTACTCAGCTTCTTCTACAACACATGCTGTAGCAACATTTCACGATGTTAACACTGTGGAAAAGGAAACAAGCAAACTAATTCTGAAATCTAGTGCAATCAAATCAAAAAGTGTGCTCCAATTTTGAAAGCAATCATTTAAAAATATTCTAGGAGTGATTTTACGTGTGTCGAAGGCTTTCATTCTCTGGACCTAGAATCCAAAAGATCTTTTCTTTTCCCACTTATATATGTCGTGAAACCCAAAATACATCGTAGCGAATTGTTTCGTGCAGTTGGGGAAAGTAAAGTATTTCCATTGATAAAAATCTATAAAGATAAAACTTTCTTTGACAACGGCCCGTCGATAAATTTAATGATCCACTGTGAGAAATTTGAGATCCCGAAGAGTAACCAAACCGTTCAAAAATTGTTTCCAAATATGCTGAAAATCGACTTTGGACGGTACCATCTAAACCACAACTCAGTATTAGCTAGCCGCGCACGCATAGCAGTGGTGAGCAAAAATAAAATCCTTATTTGAGTCAAAAATGACTTCAATTGTTGTGATTAATTGTTTCGATCAAACGCCAAGAGATGGAAGAAAGAGGAGTGAGACTTGCTTATGTTACAGGTAAGGGGCCAGGTTGCTAGGCAGGATTCATAATGGCGGCCTCCAAAGTCGAAAGTTAGCACATTTCTAAGACAAGTTTGAATAGGTAAGATGAGTTGAGTCTCAAACCGTGGTCAGTAAAGCCTGGTTTTTACGGCGACGAAAGCACAGGCGTAAGCAAAAACACATGCTTAAGGTAAAACGAACGTCGACAAGCACAAGCTCTAGCGCAAGAAAGGAAAAATTCTGATTCTCCTGTAAGTGCTTGTGTTTATGGTTATCTCAAAGCCGTTTTCACAGTGATATATAAGCCGTTGTGTTTGCTTGTGCCTGTGCTTGTTTCGTTAGTGAAAACCAGGCTTAACATAATTTCCATACTTTATTTAATGATTGACATAAAAGTTATACGGTTTGTGGACTACATTTCTCCATTAATACTTAAATAAAGATGGGGTCTTATATTAGTTTTTACTGTTTGATTGCATGGTGTTCCTGCACTCCCCTAAAAGTTAAGGTCGCGCAATTATTTAAATTCCACATTATCTCTATTTCCCTACAGTTTTTCCTCTCAAGTGTTTAATGAAAAAGGAAAAGATGAGTCACGGAGATTGTTTAGGAGTAATCAGAAATTTCTTCGACTTAAGTAGGCTATACCATACTTTTCGGAGCGAGATTCCTGAGTTCAGCCGTTTGCGACCACTGTTATGCGGAGAACAGGATGTGCGTTGCGATAGTAAGGAATCACCTCAAACAAAAGACATTCCTTACCATGTAAGGAAGACTTCAGTGCTGGCTATTTTTACAAACTTGGGTTTGTCTCATCTTCCAGAAAACACAGAAGTGTAGATTTACGTTTATACTACTACAAAAAGCTTAGTCTTTTTCTTGAATTTTACAGTCACTGTTCGAATGCACAATTAAGATGTAAGGTAAGGTGATGACTGTGAGCCGGCTATATACAGAGAAATTTCTTCTAGTTCTCCAGTACTTGTTCAAGCAAGGTTGGTTTATACATGCCTAACGACAAGGTACGATACAAGGAATATGGCGCAGCTAACAAACGGTAATATTGTTGTGATTTATTCTCGTTTCCGGACCTTTTGAATTCGTCTAGAACGAAACGAAGTCTCAGCGAAGGAAGACTTTGGGAAAGAGATTTGTCTTGACTTACTGCTATAGAAATGGGTGGAATTTTCCTTACTGAGGTCTATCTCCTCTGTAAAAACAAGTAGCCGGTACCGCAACACTCTCAAAATATATCTCTTGTAAGTTTGGACTTACAACGAAGTAAGGGAAGGAAAACGAAGCGAACACATGAACTTGAGTAGATTATAATGCATTTGTGTAAAAAGATCTATCACGATCAGCTTCTGTTTTCGATCTAAACGTCGCCAGTGCTATTGGATAAACCATGTTGCTTCTCCTCAGCATAATTTTATGCAGCCTGAGCAAGCGAGCAAATGCCCTGCGGAACTGCGTGACTCTCCATGCGTAAAGAAGAGGATTCACACATGAACTGAAGTACGTTAAAGTCAGCGTAACGTCGCGCGCAACATGAAACGCAAACGTTCTACATTTGGTACATTGAACCATAATTGAGTCAACGAGAAGGAATGGAAACCAGAACGAAAAGAATACCACCAAAACTATGAGCATCGTCTTCGTCGTGGATTTCTCTCTGGCAACGGCGTTTTTCAACGCAGCATTCCCAATCGAAGGACCCTGCTTGAGAGTCTGCGTATGTGCGCGAATTGATTTAAAAATCCCGCCGTAAGCCAAGAAAACAACCACACTTGGTAAAAAACAGCCCAATACATACAAATAAATCTGGAAATAGGAATCCACCCAACCCAATAGCGGCAGAACTGAGAAATGGGCTGCGTAAGTCCATATTATCGCTATGGAAACTAAAATCCGTCGACGCGACATCACCTCTTGGAAATTCAAGGGCCTTTTGACGCAGAAGTAACGATGGATGGACAGTGCAGCCATGTTCAACAAAGAGGATACTCCCGAAATGATAGCGAAGAGATAATGAGCGAGAAACACCGGTTCGCTGTCGTTCCAATAAGTACCAATGAGCACAGTTTCGGCGGCTATCCCCATTAAAAGATCGGAAATCCCCAAGCTTACGATGTAATAATTTTGTAGAGTTCGTAGCTGACGATACGGGTCCTTTATGAACGCTGTGCAAACGAGCACGTTACCAGAGATTGTACATAACGAAATGACCACGTAAAATAACATGCTTGTGAGATTTGTGTGAAACCAGTAACCTTCAAAAAACATTGTTTGCTACCTCATACAATGTAGACTCTTTGTAGGTCTCGGCAGCTGTTGTAAACTGATCGAGAGTAATAAATATCTTGAATTGTGTGATGATTCTGTAAGGCAGATCAATGAGTCAGATCAACCGGTAGAAAAAGTTGTTCCCTCACTTCACGAATTAAATGCGTTTTCACCGCTTGCGTTGGGTTATTTGGCGTGAGGAATCGTTGACGATTCAGTTGTGTAGCACTTTGTCAGTTTTCTTGTTTTCTTAATTACCTTCATTCACCTGCGAAATCCGTAATTCGATCATCCAAACACTGCAAGCTGAAAGCAAACGTCTGATATTTCTGATCACTTGGGGTTTTCAGATGCCGTCAAACGTCAACGAGACACTGATAAACGTATTATTTCAATTTTAACTATGGAACAATCCTCCCTAAATTACAATTTTCACACAAAAGCTGTGTCGCAGCAGGAAACAGTTTGAAGTCGTCGGAGTACAGAAATTCACTCACCAAAATTCGAATTAACCACAGGAGCGCAAATGATCAAAGCCACGCGGTTTGAAGGATAGTTATAAACATTTGCGCAGTACAATGTATTTCAATCCTTTATTTGGTATTATGAAACTTCCTGTTATGTTCCTTGACATCCCGCCGGGACTTATTGCCGACAGGAGGGTTGGTCGTTAAAATCATTCCTTTCACTTAACTTGACTGTATTCCACGTAGAGATAGCGTTGTGTAAGATCGACAGTTTTACTCGGTATACCTAGCCATTTCTTTGTCTTCAGTAAACGTTTTTCAGACGAAGAAAATCAGCACAACTCTGCGTTTTCCATAAACTAAACGTTGAGAAAAGAGGCAGGTGAATCGCCTGCAAATGAATTAGGAAGCAATTATGTCAAGTTAAAAATCATAGGTAATTACGCCGGGGATGAGAAAAAAATAAGATTATCGGAATCTTCGTAATCTAAAAATTAGGATTATCCTTCAGTGGTAGATCTTACTTAAATACTATTACGAAGAAGGTAGAAAGTTTGTCCACATATATGTCGTTTGGAATCTGATTTCTTACTAGGACCAAATCAGCATTAGAAATTACATCTTTGGCTGCCAGCGCCTTCACGAGACTTCATGGGTTTCTCTGTATATTCGTCCCTGTAGTGAGCGTTTTTTATCATTCTACCTGCTTCCGCCAAACGTTTACATTGAGAAAATGCGACTGGAGCCGGGGTAATGCTTTTTGGCAATAGCATGTCAAGCCGACAATGGCCATCTTCATTTTATTAGTCTCTGTTTTTTAATTATTTAAGATTAAATGAAAAAATGGAGCAATGCCACATACTAAATTTGACCATAAGACACATTGAATAATTACAAGTAAAACACGACAAAAGTTTATGAAATGAAAAGAAAGAAAAAATTCGGCTCGGCGGGATAAATCTGTAAGAGATCAAAGTCCGCGCTCTTTGTTTGCTGAGAGCAATGTATTTCCAAAATTCCTTCTGTTAATAACTTTTGTACGGTTAATTCTTTCAAGGTAGCTTCATTTTCAATACTATTCCAGGTACATTAATAAAAACCTTATGCTATAGTAACAAAACCCTCATTTCAAGCATTTTCTTTGGTACAATGTATTTGAAATTATTTTATGGAGAGCTACTCAAATACAAACCGAAACATGAAAACATTGCAAATTACAACTGATCCTTGATAAAGGATTTAACTCTCAAAATTACTCAGTCTGCAAGAAATACGGAAAATGAATTTGACTATTTGTTTACTTTGATTATCGTGTAATACAAACCTGATTGAAATAACTCTAATTCAGGTTTTAATCTTAGCTTTAGCGCCTCTGTCGTTGCTGGGGACTTAAATATACGTTAGAGACAATTTTTAAATCCTGATTCCAATTATTCGATCCCTTTGTAATGTCCCAACCAACCAGGCTACAATGAGGCTGTCAAAACATTAAATAATGCTTTGCATAGCTACTTATAGCGACATAAGCAACGAGATAAAAACTAATAGAAAACAGGAAGTCTTAAACAAAATGGTTCTGACGGACACACGAAACTGCGTTATATATAATTAAAGAAGGGACATTGACACAGTAAAGATGTTTTCTTTTTGAAAACTTGAAACAAAAGTTTAAATTCATCTAGGCTCATATTTTCCTCAAGCTACACGACAAGAATTAGTCGCTGCTAAGAATATACAGTTTGGCTCAGTTTATCAATTAAATCTTCCACTGCACGATAACAGCAAGAGAAGATTACCAAGAACTATAAATAACAACGGAAATGGGTGTTCAGTACGACTGTATATCTTGCCTTTTAATCAACTGATGCTAATTTCTAAAATTAATTCATGGTACTGAAATGTTAGAGCTTCAATATTTTCCTTAATGATCAAAAGAATTATCACGTTACCCTTCCGCTCACACACAAAAGAGAATTTCACACAGCTTTTAAAATGTAAAATTCGTTAACTCGCAAAAGGTACGTTCCGCAGCGACGAAAAACAATTTGAAAATCGAATTTCGCCAAATTCGACGAAAAGTTTAATTTAACTGAGTTCTGTACCAGTTTGATAAAAAAAAAATATGAGATGAAAATAATCAAATGTGAGAAAAACTACGTTAAATTTACCATCGAAAGAACTGTCTCTCTCCATACTTCGAAATATTAAGCACGAGACAATCAAGGGAAGAAAATTATATAATTGCATCCTTTCTATTTCATTAATTTCTTTTCGCTGTTTCATATATTGTCACTGCATTGTCAAATAATGCACATTTGAACAACTATAGTTACAATGGGAAACACAAAGCCATAACTATCTTTAATACAATGCGTGCGAATTAACCATCTGTTGTTTGATGAAAAATTATTCAGGAATCAACCGGTTACACATGCATATAGAATTTTTCAACTTCATAGTTTGGAGGTAAAGATCTTTAAAGCTGTAGGGCTAAGAGTGCACACACAGATTTGAAACTTCACATCTAATGACAACGGGTCCCGTTGATGAGCAATCAAAAGATTTCAACTGATGTAATATCATTCTGCGATAAATTTGGCCCTTGTTCTTCATACATAATTCAGGAAAAACTAACAACACATGGCCGAAAGGAAATAAACTTTGTTCTATAAAGTGTATGCTTGGTTTACCTTCTCGTCTTTGAAATATATCTCCCAGACAATCCGAACACCCCACGTTTTCCGGATATGTGGAACCACTTTCTGGTAGCTTTTGTTTGTTAAGTAGTTGCTATTTTGAATCAAATAAAGATTGTGGATATCTCCACTAGTTAGACATCCAATAAAGGAAGACCAAACCATGCACATACACTCCCTATGCGTTGTCAAAACTGAATCAGAATCTGTTTGGCTTTCACAGAGTGTCATTCACTTAACACCCAAGGCCATTATAAAACTGTATTTACTTGCTATCCAGCCGAGACGGGCGCACTTTGTACTCAGCAAGCTTTGATGTCATCATTTATTGTCTCAAATATGGCAGCCGTCTCTTTGGCAGGTTGGCAAACAGGAAACCAAACTTTGGAACGCGATCGTGTTAATTGTAAATCTTGACATCATAGGTGAGAATGGAAGCTTTCCTTGCTGTGACGGAAGACATAAGTCTAAAGATATCGGGCATTTAATTAAGTGATCGACTGCATTGCGTTTTTTCAATGACGCAAGGTGACAGCTTGAATTGTTGACTGCAGCTGCAAAGCACACAGTTATGACAGCTTTGATCGTTCTTAGTGTATAAACATTGCGCGGGTTTAATTTGCATCATCGGCTATTTCTAACAACTGTAACACTAAAAGGTTGTATGTACCATGAATTTTATCGGTAGATGAGAACATGATCTTTACCGGAAAAATTTCAAGTAAATCGGTATATCTTCGATAGTGTCCGTTCCCTGTTGAGCCATAACAGTGGGGAAAATATTTTTTCTACTTGCAAGTTGTCATTTACTGATGGATCTTTGTTTTTCCGTTGTCGTAATGATTATTCTTAGGTAAACTTAAGTGTTCTATTCAAATTTAATAACCAAGACTTCCACGCAAAGGACAATTTCCTCATGGATCATTAATAACCCTCATCAAATATAAGTAATTCAAGAGATCTATCCGATACTAAAGGCTATTCAATTAATTTTCTGAATTAAACTCACCCCTGTAGACGTTTTTTAGTGCATAATTCTCATCGTATTCTCAAGTAAATTTACAGAAAATCTATGCTTGAGTGTGTCGTGAGACTTGAAGATCATCGGAGGACGGAAGCTCACGTTACTGGAAAGTTAACGTTACTTTTTACCATATGATTACGTTTAAAAGCTCAGCATGAGAAATTTTTTACACACATCCTAGCGGGGCTGTTATCTAATTGATTCATTCGGAAGTCTCAGACCCTTTCGATGAACTCTCCTCAGTCTCAAAACAATAATAATAGCAGCGCGCAGATAGAAACTGAGTGGGCCATAAATCATACATTTAACAATGTGAAGTGTTAACAAACGACGTGTACATGAATTGACGTGGGACT